GAGAGCAAAACTTGTTATCTCTATATTTCCTTGCATTAATATAGAGAGGATTTGCCACAATGAGACAAGTTAGCTTGGAAGGTTGTGTAATTTACTTACATGCATTCCATTATAGAAGTAAACTAATCATGGATCAAACATAAAATGATACCAACATCAATAACTTCTATGAATTATGAACTATGGCAACAAAGGAATGAAACTGCTATTGCAAATCAGGGATGAACCCTACAATCTCAGGAAACAAGGATAACAGGAATCAAGAAAAAACAATAAAAGATAAAAAAATGCAGAAGCAAATATGGAGGTGAGGCCTCTAAATTCCAAAGAAGAACGCTTCATGAAAAGGAATTACATGATTGTCTATATTAGAAACTTTTCCTTTTTGATAGATAACAATATGATTTTACTGATGGTAATAAAAATGTTATGTAAAATTTGATTTGCTTCTTTATTAGGCTGATATATACCACTAAATCTCTTCACCAATTCAAAAAGCGAGAGAGGCCTTTGAGATCAAATGTAACCAGAAAATACCACACATCTTTGCAAGTTGCAGAAAGGAAAAACTAACAAACATAATTTAGGAAAGAAGAAAACAATATTTGTGTAAACAAAAGAATGTACTATTTGGAAGACATAAGATGATAAAGAATGTACTATTTGGAAGACAAAAGAATGATAAGATGATAAAGAAAACAAAAGAATGTACTATTTGGAAGACAAAAGAATGATAAGATGATAATGAAAACAAAAGAATGTACTATTTGGAAGACATAAGACGATAAAGAAAAAACCTTACTTGGCAAAATTGAGAAAGAGAAAAGTAAAGTAATCAGGTTAATTATCTTGGCCCCTTTGCCACTTGCACAGTTATTCTTTTTTAAGAAAGCAAGGATAAAACAAAAAAAGAACTACAAGAGGCGAGAGAAAGCTCTCCCCACAAGATCAAGAAAAGCTATATATCTGAGGTCCCACAGAAAGTCTTGAGAGAAGAACTCATCATGATCATGTCCTTTGTTTGCCAATGAGTTAGCAGCATAGTTTCCTTCTCACTGGGTGTGGACATGGCTCACCCCCTTATAAAGACTTTAAGCAATTCCTCTGCAATCTTGAATCAGCAAGAGGCACTTCCATGGAAGTTGAGTCTCTTCCTTGAGGGCTTGAATTGTTACCAATGAATGAAATTTCTATAACCACCAGAGAGTTGCAAACCTGCAAAGCAAGTTTGTGGGCTTCAAGGGCAGCCAACAAACTTGTACAGTTTATAAATAAGGAAGCTCTTAAACATATGTACACAAACAACAAGATTCAACTAAAATCCAAAAGAGAAAGTTGTTTTAATTTCAGAAGGTATGTCCACTCTAGTGTTGGTCCAGTCAATCATCCTAAAGGAAAAAAAAAAATGGCTGTCTAGATTCCACAGCTGTGCTTCCAACAGGGCTGTTCCTGCATAACACTTTAGTCAATACTAAATCCATGCAATAATAACAGTGCTGGATGTATGGCTGTATAGACTAACATGTCATGTGGAGAGAGCTTATGGACACCACAGGCTGTCAAACATGGAAAGCCAAAATAAATTAAAAATTAAAATAGATGCTTGGAACAAAAGTAGTAAGTTATTGATAAAAAAGATAATAACTAATACAAAAGCTGCCTTTCTGGTTATCATTCTTACAAATCCTGCAAAGCAGGAATACTAACACAAGAATGTGAAAATGCAAAGTAGGAACATCAAATGAATCCTTTCTTGGCCTAATTATCTTGATCTTACCCCCAAAACAATACCAAATCTCTCCCCTCAATAGAAACACATAAAATAGCACTGCAAACAGAGTGTTCCATCCTCTTCTTTTCATTTTTAATTCTAGGGGAAGGTAACTGTAAGGTTGCAACAAGGATGTATATGTGAGGGGGGAAACTATACAAGATTATAGGGAGTATTTGTAGAACCATTCTCAACACTGAAAGAAAAAAAGACTGGCATAAATTTATCATTACAGAAAAGAACCCATCCACACCCGATTTAACTTATCCACCCACAATCAATCTCTCTAGAGATCGACCTTCTGATCAGTTATCCGATATTAGAATTCCAAATAATTAGTTAGAATGCTTCTTTAGTAGTTAAAGAAGTCTTTATTTCTTATCAGTCCTAAAAACTTTTGTAACCCAGGATATATTGGATAATAAAAAGCTAGTTCAGAAATGAAATTTTTTTTCTATAGAACCCTTGAACATACTGAACAAAAGTTAAACTATTAAAGATTTGTTCTCAGACATCAAAATGAACCCCCTGACCTTACCTACAGATTTCAGACAAGTAACACAAAAATCATTACAAGGCCTTCAGTTGTTAGCTTGGGCCTATCCTATACCAGAAGTATTCAACATTAGAGCTACCTCTTGTTTTAATTGAAGGGTTTATCATATACATGGTCATTCTTCCCAGACACATTTTATATGTTTTTCTGTATAGAACATGCATCACCTAAATTGTTCTTTTGCAGGATCTTATGAAAGCTCATCCATTGCTTGAAAATCAGTAAAACAATAAATACCCACTTGTACAATTTGACATTATCTACATGACCAAGCCTTATGCAGCTGCTCCCACATTTAAAGTATCATAATTTCTTGTGGATCACTTAAGCCATCAAAATTTGCAAGTCTAGGTGAGTTGTTTGATATTCCATTAATCCATATCCCAAATTGTTAAACAAGCAAAGTACATTATACTCTAGAATATCCAATGACCTGCTTTCAATTATAAATTTAGAAGTCCGGATCTTGCTCCTCACACCAACCTCACAGACACATCCCACCATGTATCAGGAACATCTCTCGTACTTATGTGTTATTATTCATTGGAGATGTGCCTGTGAGGTGCGCTGTGTGAGGAGCAGATCCCAATTCTAAATTTACATCTACCTAGAATTTCTCATGCTTTATCCCTAACTAGCTAGGGTTAACTAAATGAACCTTTCCCACCAATTCAATGCAGCATGAACTTCTCAAAATAGTAAAACAAGAGTTCTGTAGAATAAGAATAAATTGCTCCTTGATGATTATTTACACGCAACTTAAAGAACTAAAAAAAGGTCATTAGTCAATGCTGGTCCGGTCATCCAGGGTCTTGAAAGAGTGGCTGGATACAGACCTAATTTTTTTTTTGTTGATCAGCAACATGAAAATTTTATTAATTAAGAGAAAATCATTACAAATTATAGATAGCCTCGGCTACCCCAAACAAACTTAACAGAAAACAGAAAAAAATAGAAAAAGATTTATTTTTTCAGCTTTACAATATCGTCCAAAAGAAATGTTCTCTGTTAAGCCCCTGCTTTGCTAGTTGATCTGCCAAACTGTTGGCTGACCTTGGGGTCCATTGGAACCTAGTTGCATATCCCATGCAATTCTCCTAAGCTTTTTGACTTCATTCCTGAAATGCCAGGGGAGATTTTCATTCTGGTTCACCAGCTTTTTGTATCCCATACAGTACTGCCTTCAACTCAGTTGTTAAGTCCCCTACCCCAATGGGCCCTGAATACAAGCCCAAAATAATTCCATTTTCATTCCTTATAACCCTTCTTATTCCAGAGGGACCTGAATTTCCATAGCTACTGCCATCAAAGTTGAGTTTCAGGAAGCCATTCTTAGGTGGGTCCCAGGTTCTAGACATTTTCGTTTTTGAAGATAAAGAAGCTGCAACTGCGCCCTATTCCTTAAATCATCAAGGTAAAGTCTGAGAATAATTTCAGTGACTTTACCCAATGAAACACCTTCACCATAATACCTTCTATCAGCAATTCTTTGGTTCTCCCTCCTCAAAGAGTCTTAGATTTCTTTCCTCCCATATTGTCCAGACCACTGCTGCCCTCGTGCACTTCCACAGTACTTCCCCCCTTCTTTTTGGCCATCTGAAAGTAGTAGAGTTGAACAACCTGTCCAGACTGCTTGGAGTATTCCACATGCACCCATAAAGAGAAAAAAAAAAAAAACCAATCCCAAATACAGCAAGCAAAGGTGCAGGAGATTAGAAGATGATAAGCAATTTCACCATTAGAATTACACAAAATACACCAGTTTGGGAAAAGGCATCAGCCGGGTCTTTTCCTCTGTAGAAAATACAAGTATTAATGGCCCCATGGCAGATCTTCCAGCAAAAAACTCCCACCTTGGGAGGGATAGGGCAGCCCACACCTCTTTAACAGGAAATGGCAAAGGAGGAGATGAAGATGACAGATATTTAAAGAAAGAGGCACAACTGGTTACAGACCTAATTACCAGAATCTTTTAGCATGAAGTGGCCACTCAGAGAGTTGGAGGCGCTCTTATGCCTGTCAGCCCAAGATATTTCCATTGCAAAAATCAATTTTCATAAATCATAATCGCTAAGCTTTCGTCTGTGGCCTTGAACTATTGTCCTTCCTGGTTACTGGAGGTTGGTTTGGGGCTAACTCACTGTTTTAAAGTGGATATATTCAAGTATACAGACCAATAGAGGTGTTGGCACATCAGAGATCTAGGACCTTAGCCAGTTTACCTATTTGGTTGTAAATAAATAAATTGATGTTTCTATTTTATCACTTTATCTGGATTTTCCATTTTAGCCAGATTACTTATTTGATTTTATTTCCTTTTACTTTCCTTTCCTAATAAAACTTCTCTCCTCTTGGATCAACGAATCATAGTGATCTAAGTCAATAGCTGGGACCAAATATTGTAGCAGGACATGTTTTTTCTTTGCATTTAGTTATCAAAAACTTTATGGTATTTGAATTAGTATAGTTTAAAAGTAGAAGTAATAATGTGAATCTTCTTTTGATGATTTATTATAACCTAAATGCTTCTATATGGAGTCTTCTTTTACCCAGCCCATTTTCTTGATCTTAAGCTTTCTAGGAAAAAGGGATTGGTGTTATAACACAAAAAGAAATAAGTAGAAAACAGTCGTGGAAAAGAAACTAAAATCTTCTCCAATAAAAAATAAGAGAGAAGTAAGAATTCTACAAATGGAGCACTATAATTCTGCAATATTTACAAATAAAAAATTATCGGAAATCAATGTATGAAGAGAAAATTACAGAACCCTGACCTGATGCAGATGTAACATAGACAAGAAAGCCTTCTCATCTGTACCAACCTACTCATTAATTAAAAATTGACTACAAATCATTGTTCCTCCAATTTCTTACAATTAAATCCTATACTCCTGAAAGCATTGGAAAGAAAGAATCAGATTTAGTTGCTAATTTCATGCCAGTGTTTCTGCCTTATATCCAATGAAGCCTGTGAGAGTTGCTCGAGTGTTCCATCCTCAATAGAACTTGTGGAGCTTGTAACTTTGATCAGCTTCGTGCATTCTATACTGCTGCCTGATGTTGGAGCATTCATCTCATCTACCTCTTCTGAACCCGAAGAAATATGCAGATCCTCTCCCCCGACGGTAGTCAAATCACTAGAAGAGCAGGACAATTTGATTCTTGTTCCTATCTCCTGTTTCTGAATGCGATTGCCAGTTTCAGACAACGACAACAAGGACCAGACCAGCCCTGCTGCAGCCGGAGCAGATAGAGATAGAATCCCCTCCAGTTCTCCAATATCTTCACCATCTGATGCAACAAAGGGGTGATGCAGCAGCATCTCCGCCGTCCACCTGAACATAGTAGTCCTCACAAAACATCTCTTCAGAAAATCTTTCCCCTCATTCGACAAATCACCCGGTATTCTGGGTAATTCATGGCTCCAGCCTATACGCTGTAGAAGATCATCTCTAGTCTCACCTGGCTTGCAACTCCATGCCGGCTTCCCACTGATCATCTCAGATACGACGCACCCAAGAGCCCAAATATCAGAGGGAGGCTCCTGTGAGTTATGCGCAATTGATTCCGGCGACATGTACAGAGGAGTGCCTCTCCAGCAAGGAGTCTCGTTCTTCCATTTCTGTTGAACCTTCTTCGCCACTCCGAAGTCGGCAATCTTCGCAACATAGTCCTCACCCTTCCTCCTCTTCTTGATTAGAGAAGAAGCGGGTACCAGAAGAATATTTTGAGGTTTGATATCGCAGTGGACGTAACTTTGAGCGTGAATGTAACTGAGACCACGAAGAATCGACCTTGTATATCGCTTGACTTCGGATTCAGGTAACCCACCAGCCGAATTTCTTATCCGATCGGCCAGGCTGCCGCCAGCGCCGTACTCCAACAACACATTGTAGATCATCTGACCATTCTCAACTGTAACCTCCTCCCCAAAGCAATGAAGGATGTAAGGGCATCCACTGAAGTTGGAAAGAATCTCTTTCTCCTTCTGAAGAGAATACGAATCAGAGACCTCGGTCCATTTCACTGCAATTGAAGGCGGGAGGTAGCTTCGGCGCTTGTTGGGTCCCGTCGTCTTGGCCAAAGAAACCGTGCCAAAACTTCCTTTCCCGATCGTAGCTCCTCTCGTCCATGTCCTTCCATCACTACCCATCTCCATCGTCTTCTGCTGTCGCCGCCTTCGCTTCATCGTCGCTTGAATTCCAGAGATTGACAAAGAACACCCACTTGAAGAACAGAGAAACCAAATTAGATTTTCGGGTTTTGAGCAGAGAATCGGAGAGAAACAGAAAACCCACTTGGGTTGTGAGCAGGCGAATCAGAGGGAAGATAGAAACCCAATTAGCTAATGGGGATTTTGAGCAGAGAATCGCAGAAAAAGAAGAAAAAGCCACCCGGATTGAGAGCTTTGAGCAGACAATGGAAAGAGAAGAGCGATCGCATTTTACAACAATTTCAGTTATAAGCAAACTTATAAAATAAGAAACAGTAAGCCCAGCAAAGCTCAAGGCTTCAAGCCCCGATTTCCGAAACCAGATGGATGAGAAGCGGCAATCTGTTATGCGTCTTCGAACCGACCAAGCGCGCGTTTCGTGTTAACTGTCACTATAATAGATGTGTCTTCACTCTTGGGGGAACCATCTGACCGTTGGATTGGTATCAGATAGAACTTATTTTCGCAGAAGGTCATTATGGACGATGTTTAATAGACTCCAATCTGACTATAAAACCGTGTTTAGGGACGCATTATTCGCTATGGAACTCCAACAGAAAAACTTGCCACGTGGACTGTTAGATAACGGCTGAAGTAGCTTAATTTGCCTTTCCATTAAAAGACAGAGAAATAAATCATCCAGTTCAGCCCCTTCAGTCATAGCCCTAACGGAAATTTAACCATTTCGTTTAGTGAACTGTTGCCGTGCAGATTTATCATTGACTTGGAAAAAATAAATCAAGAGGCAAAATCTTGGGGTAAATGGGTAAAAATAAATAATTAACTGGCGTGTTCACTCGTGATTGGTTACGTGGCAAAAAATTCAATCCAACCCACAAACATGACCCGACCCAACTCGCAAAAAAAGCGGGTTAGAGTCCTCTATCTAATGACCTGGCTAGAAGGTGCTTGACCCGAAAAGAAATTGGGTTGGGTTGGGTCACTGTTGAGTCACCCATTTTCCAAAACAACATTTCAAAACGGTGTTGATCTGGGTGATTAAACCATTCAAACCATTTGAACCAGATGATCAAATCTATATTCTTTGGTTAAAAAACATTGACTTTATCAAAAACCAGCCGACTCTAGGGGTTGAACCATTGACTTGCCTGAGCCGTATGTCAACTCTAACTTGAATATTGAGGATTAGGGTTTAGCATTTTGCCAATTCAACTCAAAAAGACCAAAAAATATCTGATTTATACATGAAATAATATATATATATATATAATTGATTTAGATATTTATTGAATCGAATCAAGTCATATTTAAATTTATTCATGTATGTCGAATCTCAAATTTTAACTTAATTTTTTTAGGTTTAATTTAAAAGAATAAATATGAGAATTTATACTCAGGTTCCACCCTAACCCTAACCTGAAGCTCGACCAGACCCCACCTAACCCTTTATTTCCTTGTTGTTGAGTTGGATTTGGATTCAAGTTGCCTCCCTGCGTGCACACCAGGTTGTTAAATTGAATAGGTTTAGCTTATTTTGATGCAAGTATGCAACAAGCAAAGGATTCAGCATTCACACGCAAAAATCATTTGCAACAAGCGACAGAACAGAAACGTGTGCTACTCTTGCAAGGCTCAGCTTAACATTTTAGGTTGTGTTTGGTTTGAAATAAAAGGTAAAGAAATCTATACAGGCATTTTATAGGTTTTTTTACTTTTTTTTTATCAAACCACACACAGCGTTAAAGTCATGTTCTAATCCTTAAAAGCTTTGATGCCTGTTTGGGAGGGCTTTTAAATAGCAATTTTTTGCTTCATGACTGAACCTCCCTTTGGACAGCCTATAAGGACTGTTTGGTGGAAATCCCAAAACAGCAAAAAAATGAAAAAGGCTTTCTGTTGAAGCTTCTTTTCATTGGCATGAATTATGGTGCATGATAGTCTTTTATTAAATTAAATTTTATTGGTAATTTGAGGTTAACGGTTCATGGACTTGGGAATAATCTTCGTGTTGAAGTCAAGTATATTTTCAGAGAAAGCAACATGTCAACATCTCTCTCCCTCTCCAGCGTTGATTTGGAATTTTTTTGGGGCCACATAAACCCAGGTAACTATTTGGTTACTGCAGTTTATGAAGGGTAGGGGGATCTGCTCAAGTGGGTAATTAATAAACAACTCAACTGTGTATGTATGAAAAATTCAAAAGAGTAATTCTTCAATCAATGAGTTTGGATGAGAAGACTACCATGAGCCCATAAACGTTTAGATGACTGAGGAATCCACTGAAACGTTGGCATTTCAATTATGTTCAATGGAGAGGAATTTTCAAATTAGGGTTTTCTTTTTTTATTCCTAAGCTAATGTAAGGCTCGTTTGGCGTGTTTTTCTGTATGGTTTTTTGGTTGTTTACAAATCGGGCAGATAGATTTTCGGTCTATTCCCGTTTGGTTCGCGGAAGATCTAGCCGTCAAAAGCTGGAGTGTTGAAAAGATGCAAGAAGTTCATTTTGGGCTGATTTCATGAAACTTCAAATGAAGTTTTCCCCCGTCTTTTATGCATTATTCTTGCATAAAAAGACATGAAACGACGTGTATCTGCCAAACTAGCTTCGAGCTACTCAGATCTTCATGCAAAAATTTAATGCATTTTTGACTGTCAGAACTACTCAATTCATGCCCTTTTATTTAAAGAATCCATTTAATTCTAGGGTCAAGTTGGATCGCCCAACTCGAGCCCAGACCAACCTAACCAGAATTTGGACAGGCCAGGTTAGAGTTTTGGCCTTGAGACTGGACTTTGGTTCAAAAGTTTGAATTTCTTTATATTTTGGGTTGCATTTGGACTTAGCCTTTACACAGTCCGAACCTGATTCAATTACATCTAGATATAAATACACATTGGCATATATACATATACACACATATATACCATGTACATATTCATTCATATCAAATTTCAATACGAACTGAGCTTGGATTGAATAATTTAAGCTTGACCTTGGTCTCAAGTCGGACTCAAGCCCTGCCCCTAATTTTTAGGGTTAGGCTTGGGTAGAGCAGAAAGCCAGCCCAACCCGCCCGACAAGAATAAGAATCAATTTGTCTCATATGTCTGACGTAGATACTGTTCTATTGCAACACCAAAAAAACATAAATATTGTTGTAATTAGTGTTTTAAACCAGACCCGAAAGTTGAACCATTTTTCTTTTGGACCAATGGTTGGCGATTTAGCCATTTGGGTCGATGGATCAATCCCTGATGTAATCAAATATACAAATTTTCAAAAAAATAAATAACACAAAAACCTGTTCACAATAGATCATCAACGGTTCAATCCTCTAAGTCGATAGGTCAATTAACCAAGACAAAGGTTCAGTCTGTTTGAGCTTCGGGGTGCAAATTCCATTTATAGTTTTAGACTGGTGTAGATGCATGGGAGTGCAAATAGGCTAAATGTATATTCTTACCTAATTTTGTTCATATTTGATTGTCGTATTATTTGGTTTATTGAAGTTATACAACAAGGGGTAAGTCAATCCCAATACTTAGATGATGTGCGATGTAGCAACTTCCTGTTGGAGGGCATCTTGGAAGTTGGGCTAAGTAGGTCATTTAGTTGAGTTGTAAGAAGAGAGATTAGAGTGTTTAGGATGCTTTACTAGGTGTGGGCACTTTGATGCTTAAATCAACAAACCGGGGATTTTGGAGAGAGTTAGAGAGTTGCGAGTGTTAAATTGTGCATATCTCTTGAAGTTGGAAATGAGACCTTTATATAGATATTGTTTGGTGTGAACTCCACGCACTACATCCAAGGTCTCTAAGAGGATGTGGCTGATTGGTTCAAAGTCCTTAGAGATAGTTTCGCATGCAAACTAGGCTTTGTGCCTTTCTCCACAACATTTGGTATGGGAGTTGACTTCCAAAGGACCCTGGAATGGTGGGATGCCCATAGAGGAAGTCGGCGAGCACATCTCGCAGGTTGCCACCTAGACCTTAGTTAGGTCAGCAAATCCTCAAGAGAAATCATTCCTCATGTCAAGGTCCCTTAGATCGGTACTGACGAGATACCATAGGTCTTCAAGTCCTTGAGGAAGGTTGCTCTCACGCCGAGGTCTCTTGAACCAGTAACGATGAGGTACCATAGGTTGACCCTGGACGAGGTGTTGCTAACCGCCTTGCTATGTATGAGGTGTCTTGGATTGATTTCGAGGTGCATCTCTTTGACTTGGCGAAATATGTGTCTATCTACGTGGTGGTGAGGTGTCAAGCGACAAAGACGGATGCCACGTGTTGCCAGGTCAGTAAAGGGCCAAATCACCCCTCATTAATTAATACTCATAACACTGACCAACCTTGGTGGCAATGGGATATGACCTTTGTCTTACTTGCTTGTAAGAAATAAATTAGTGTTTCCACATATATGAAAGAGAATGGAGGTAGGAAAGTTATTTGTTTGAGAATGGGATAAGAAGAAAGATGCCGTGGTCCCACTTTATAAAAGAGAATAATCGATGAGGTGATGCAAATATTGCATCAGTTTTTGAGATGTAAAATTTGTACTACCAATGAGTAAATGAGATAAAAATACAAATTTTGCATCAAGTCAGAATTTGTATCTAATTCAGATTTACACCAGCAACAAACACAGCGAAAGCAATGAAGGCATTCAGTTCAGCTCTTCAGCCGTTAGTGGAACACGGTCAATAACTAACTGCCCTCCTTCTCAGGACCGTTGGATTCAGATTTCTAGTCTTGGGTTATTGCTCGAGAACATGCCTAAGAATCAGAACAAAAGATTCCAATTCAATGGTTCTTCCAATTATTATCCTATCATGGAGTAAAATGTATTCTATCATTCATAGACTTTTAGAAGAGGAAGCCCAATCTCCACCCTTGATCAAATGGTGGGTCCCCCTACTCTACTCAGACGATAAGATGTCTATGTTTTCCGATCCATCCGTACGCACCACTGCGTAAATTAGCATTAACGACCGCCTTCACTTCCCACTTCCCAGGCTCTCCGACTTGATATAAAAGAGAAACCAAAATCAAATCAAATCCGATTTCAGTTATTTTCCGCCACTGCTTCAACGTTCGTTATCCGAAGAACAAAAGAGAGGTAGGCCAAGAACAATCTCTCTTTGCTCCATCATTTCGATCCAAATTTTATTTAATTAGTTGAATTTCGAGAAATTTGACACATGTTTCTTGTAATCTCTCGATTGATCATCTCCAGTCCGCTCCAGACACTCTCTTTGACTCAAATTCTAGTTTCTATGTATTGAGTTACTCTTCCTGTTAGTTGAAATTCTAATGAATTCATTGTACGTGCTTGGTTGGAGGCCAGTGTAAGCCATGGCCTCCTTGAATTCTAGTGTTTTAAGTAACATTGATAGATGGTCTGATCGGCGTTCGAATCCATCTTTTACGGGTTGTGCTCAGATCAATGGAGCCCGTAACGTTAACCCTTTCGGTCGCCTAAAACAGGTTAGGGTTTCTCGGCTTGCCACGGAAGTTGCCGATGTATCTGAGTTAAGCCAAGCTGATATTGTAGTGAGAGAAGAAGCTTCAGCTGGTGAGGGTTCGAATTTACAAAACCCAGTTCTTGGCAGTGAGGTTAGGAAGAGTGCAAGGAGCCTCTGGAGGAGATTTCGTGGATCGAAGAGAGAAGTTAAAGGTGGAGAAGTTGCTTCTTCGGAATGTGGTACTAGAAGGATTAAACAAGAACAAGAGAAACGGTCCAAATTTGATTATAAGGGAAATGGTAGTGATTCCATTTCTGTTATGGATAAGGGATTAGAGGCTGCTGTCTCTGCAATTGGGTCTGACTCGAGTGTGGCACATTGTAACTCTATCTTAAAACGGCTTGAGAGGAGTAGCGACCGCATGACGTTGAGCTTTTTCGAGTGGATGCGGAACAACGGAAAACTGAAAAAGAATGGTCTTGCTTATAATTTAGTCCTCAGAGTGTTAAGCAGGAAGGGGGAGTGGGATTCAGCTGAAAAACTTCTTCGTGAGATGAGTACTGATTCTGAATGCATACTCAATTTTCAAGTTTTTAATACGCTTATATATGCATGTTATAGAAGGGGGTTAACTGATTTGGCAACCAAGTGGTTCCATTTGATGTTGCAAAATGGGGTTCAGCCAAATATTGCTACCTTTGGGATGCTCATGAACCTTTATCAGAAGGGTGGCAATGTTGCAGAAGCAGAGTCCGCGTTTGCAAAGATGAGGTTCTTCAAGCTGCATTGTCATTCTGCTTACTCTGCAATGATCACTATATATACCCGTTTAGGTTTATACGATAAATCAGAAGAAATTATTGGCCTCATGAAAGAAGATCGTGTGATTCCCAATTTGGAAAATTGGTTGGTTCAGCTTAATGCTTACAGCCAGCAGGGCAAGTTAGAGAAGTCTGAACAAGTATTGAGATCAATGCAAGAAGTGGGGTTTAGCCCAAATATTGTTGCATACAACACGTTGATTACAGGGTATGGAAAGGTTTCTAATATGGATGGCGCCCAACGACTATTCCAAAACCTCAAGAATGTTGGCTTGGAGCCTGATGAAACAACTTACAGATCCATGATTGAAGGATGGGGTAGAGCTGACAATTACAGAGAAGCCAGGTGGTATTATGATGAACTCAAACGGTCAGGGTTTGAACCTAACTCATCGAATTTGTACACAATGATAAACTTGCAAGCAAAACATAAAGATGAAGAAGGTGCAATGCAGACTCTTGAGGATATGAGTAGGATAGGCTGCCAGTACTCCTCCATCCTCAGTAGTGTTCTACGGGCATATGAGAAAGTTGGAAGAATAGACAAAATACCTCTCATACTGAAAGGTAAATTTTATGAACATGTTTTGGTTGACCAGACTTCATGCTCGATTTTGGTCATGGCCTATGTTAAGTGTTCCCTGGTGGATGATGCTTTAGATGTCCTAAAGGACAAACGGTGGAAGGATCCAAACTTTGAAGACAACCTGTACCATTTTCTAATTTGCTCCTGCAAGGAGTTGGGTTATCATGAGAATGCTGTTAAAATATTCACTGAAATGCCCAAACAGGAAGGGATCCCAAACTTGCACATTACTTGCACAATGATTGACATATATGGTGCCATGGGCCGTTTTGCAGATGCAAAAAATCTCTATCTGAATCTGGAATCTTCAGGAACTTCCTTGGACATGATTGCCTATAGTGTTGTTGTGAGGATGTATGCCAAAGCTGGGTCTTTGAACGAAGCTTGTTTGGTCCTAGACAAAATGGAGAAACAGAAGGACATTGTTCCAGACAATTTTTTGTTCCTAGACATGCTCCGTATTTATCAAAAGTGTGGCATGGTAGAAAAGTTGGCAAACTTGTACTACAAGATTTTGAAAAGTGGAATCACATGGGATCAGGAAATGTATAACTGTGTCATAAATTGTTGTGCTCGTGCCTTGCCTGTGGATGAGCTTTCTCGGCTTTTCAATGAGATGATTCAACGTGGGTTTTCACCCAATGTCATTACCTTCAATGTCATGCTTGATGTTTTTGGAAAAGCCAAGCTTTTCAAGAAGGTCAGGAAGGTCTTCTGGATGGCAAAGAAACGGGGTTTAGTTGATGTTATCTCCTATAATACGATCATAGCAGCCTATGGACAAAGCAAGGATTTCAATAATATGACATCAACAGTTAAAAAAATGGAATTTAATGGGTTTTCTGTTTCTCTAGAAGCTTACAATTGCATGTTAGATGCTTATGGGAAAGAGGGTCAAATGGAGAGTTTCAGAAGTGTGTTGCAAAAGATGAGGGAATCAAGCTGTGATTCTGACCACTATACTTACAACACTATGATAAATATTTATGGAGAGCAAGGATGGATTGAAGAAGTTGCTAACGTGCTGACTGAACTGAAGGAATGCGGACTGCAGCCCGATCTGTGTAGCTACAATACATTGATAAAGGCTTATGGGATTGCTGGAATGGTTGAAGAGGCTGTAGGTGTGGTGAAGGAAATGAGAGAGAACGGGATTGAGCCTGATCAGATAACTTATGTTAATCTCATCAATGCACTAAGGAAGAATGATAACTTCCTAGAGGCTGTTAAGTGGTCCTTATGGATGAAACAGATGAGAATGTCAAATTCAAAATGCTGATTTGGACTTGATTTCTTTGTCATCAGCTGCCTTTGCCTTGAAATATTCAGAAGTAGATTGATGCTTCCCATCACATTAAATTTCAGTCGAACTCTTTTTGCATGTGCTTATTCTAAGTATTCAGTGCCTAAAATGTTCCAAAATCTTTTGGGGAAAAAATCCTGTTTACAGGAACTGATAAAAAAATCCTGTGAGAGTGCTAAGATGGTTACCTTACTATAGATTTGCTTTTATTTTAGGATTATTCTTCAATGTATAGATGCAATAGTGAATTTGCTTCCTCGAATGTGTATAGAAGAAAATAATATGAGCGGCATTTGTAGACCACCTGTAACCAGCATTCTGATTTGGTTTATTACTCCTTGTAAGGCTGCTTTTGTGAACTTTTTTCTGCTTGTATAGTTGAAAAAGAGGAAGTGAAGTTCCACTGGAGCCCTATAATTTTTACCTAATAATCATGTTTATTCTCTTTTATTTGTTCCATTTTAGCATATTTTCCGGAATAGTGCTTATGGGTATTATTGCTTTGACTTTCATGAGGCAGAAATTAGATTATTATGCCCATCCACCCCTTTTAGGTCATTCTTTCAACATAAAGGAGCATTTATTACAATACAAAAGGGGCAGAAATATAGATGAAGTATTGAAATGTTTCAGACTTAAAATGTCTTCTGTCCCTTTTATGTTGAATCAAATGGCCTCAATTGGAAAAGAAATGGGATTAAAAGATTCAGTATAGCCCACTATTTTACAAGGGTATCAAAATTTCAATTAAGAAAATAGTTTGTTAAGTTATCTAGGCTCAACTCATTTCCTGTTGATTCTGAAAGGAGTTTTCTTACATACTGGTCTTGGAAGAGGAAGCTTTTTTCCTGCCATCACCTTCTGAAGTCTGAACACATCATGCCTCCACTTTCTTCCTTTTTTATTGCTGCCAGTAAATTTTTCTTACTCTATCTATTCCCCTCTAAGTTTATTTTTTAACCCAGTTTGTTTGGAGTGCAATTCCATTTGTACTGGTACAAAAGAATGGAGTGCAAATTCTGATTTATATTTGTTTCAACTTTTAATCTTATTTTGTTTGTTTACAGTGCAGATGAAGTAAAATAAAACCTCAAGCAAAGTAAAGTAGTAGCCAAAACAAAAATGGACTAGAATTTGCATTCTTCTCATTTGCACTTTAGGCTGTGTTTGGTTGCAATGCAAATAAATTTGCACTGATGCAAAACCATGGCAGTGCAAATGATTTGAGTGTAAATTCTGACCTATTTTTGTTTCAAATTTTATCTTATTTTGTTTGAATGCAGTACAAATGAAGTAAATTAAGACAAAACAGAATAAAGTAAAATACAAGTATGTAATGTACAAATGCATACAAAATACATAGTTTTTCACTCTACATATTTGTATTTGTACTCCTTCCACAGCTCAGTTTGGAAAGAGTACAAATACAAATATGTACAGTACAAATACATACAAAATACAAGGCTTTGCACTCTACATATTTGTATTTGTACTCCTTCCAGACTGAGCCTTAATGCATTTGTATTAGTGCAAATGAATTTGCAGCTCAAACAAATAGAACCGGATGTTTCTAAATTTCTCTGTTGACCTCTCTAGATCTGTTGCTACTCTCAATCTCTCTCATCATTGTTTCTGTGGTTTTCTTAGTATTTTTAAATGGGAAGCATTTTTTATCTTTTATTGGTAGTTGGGGCAGGATTAAAGTACAGTTCTGGTTCCATTTATTGTTCTTTTCATTTTTTTGTGTGTGATTTCGAATGCTTGTATATTTTTTATTGTTCCATATATTTCAGTTTGAATCTGTTTTGTGATGCAAAAAAAAAGTTTATTCATGTCCCTTTCTTTTGATTATGATTGTCAATAGATTTTTCATTCATGCAAAGCATATGCTCATTCTAGTATCAATTTTTTTTTTTTACTTTAGCTGTTCTATTGAAACGAATAAAACTTTTATTGCAAATTCAAAATATTGAGTCATATCCGTGGTTGAAATTAGTGAGGTTTGGGTATTCAAATGATAGAAAGGTTATCAACAAAACTGGTCAAAGGTTAGAGTAGTGGTGATCCTTAAACCTAACTGTTAGAGAGATATAATTGTGGATACCTTTGTATAGTGTTTGAGACACACATATGGAAATACTAGGGATAGTTTAAGCCATCTTTGGTGGATTAGGAGACTTGGTTGGATGTCTTTGTATTTAGGGAAGATACTATTATTGATTTGTTTTTCTCCTTACATTAGTTCAAAATTTCTGATTTAGTTTCTTTATTTGGTGTTTTGGGTATGGTAAATCATCTCTGAGTTAACAATAAGTAGAGTTAGAATAGTACCTAGTGCTTTATGATCGAGAAAAATGAGTTATATACTCTGGTTGTATAGAACAGTATTCTCATCTGATATTAAGTTCTGAATTTGAAATTGTTAATGTTGTACTTCAACATTTGGATATTAAGAAGAGGCACAAACTAGATATTAACTGATAACATGACAAGAAACAGTCTACTATATTTCTTAACCAGAATGACATTGTCACATCCAATCAACTTTTCTTCCTATGGCATGGGTCTTTCACTCACCATATAGCCAGAAACTATTCAACTATTCAGATAAGTCGTCAGTGCATTGATTTGGAGTTCTTGATACTAAAACTCCATAAATTTAACAGTATATGGCATGGTTATTGGGTCTTCATAGTTGCTTGATCCATATTTGACTTTGGGTTTGCAATTTACTATTTCCAGTGAAAACCAGTTTGGTTGGGACAGGTTTTAAAATTCATTTTTCTGCTAAATACCTGATTTTGGTAATTTTTCCTACCTAGATCTGCTTCTTAGTTTATGGCACAGGGATATTTTATATTAATTTCTGAACTTTAGCTAATTAGTTTAGTTTTAGAGTTTAGTTTTCTTAGCTTTGTGATTTTAAAGGACCACTACCTAATGTTGGTCCCAGCTATCTGAGTCTTGGGAGGGGTTAATATCTACCTAAACTCTGGTGCTTTTGCACAAAATGGATAATCTCATCCTCAAACCAGCATTTTCACACTTGTCTTAGCTTTTTATTTACAAATCCAAAATACTTTTCTGGTTAAATTTTTTATATTTTTGGTAGAGAGCTAGTTTTAAATTTGTTGTCTTGTGCTTTCCGCTGTTATGGAATCATATGCATGAGAGAACTTGGAAATTAGGTGCTACCTGGTTTTGTGGTCAACTTTTCTCATATGGCAACAATCAGGTGAATGATGAAAAGCATTAGTAGACTCCAATTTGTTGGAAGAAAATTTTAAATACCTGTGCAACCATTGATGTTCATCAGAAATAGCAATTCTTCTAACATGATCTTATTTTCAGAGCAGCAGTCTTTGTTATCTATATATGTGACCTTCAAAAAATTCGGCTTTGACTGATGTTTTAATTGTGCCTTCTTGGCCAACTGGTGGTGGTTCAGTTGGTAATGTCTGACTAGTTGTAGAAGAGACCTGGGATCAAATCCTGTTGCCACCAGGGTTGGGGGGTTATGGGAGGGGCTATCTCCCATACCCCCATGAGAAAAATTGCATTCCAATCTAGATGTTTTATTATTTTATATATACTAGATCCCTTTCATTAGTTTCTTTGATTGAAAGTTGAGAAAGTTCATGAACATAATAACGACCTGCAAAATATTCAGAAATAATTCATTTTACATTTTTAAAAATCTAGCAATAAAATGTGCATGCTTTAGAAATATTTGAGAGCTTACTATAAAACTTAAAATTCATGTAATAGAATCATTGCACCATGAACATGATAAAAGTAGAAGAAATTATTTGTCCAATCTCTAACTTCTATGCAAGCCTTTTCTTTAATGTAGTGTTCACTATCCAACAGGAATTTAGGTGATGCGGGAGTAAAGAAGCAAGCCAAAACTGAATTGTATTGTATTTTCAAATTATAGGAGTATTTTGGTCATTTACATATTATTTGTGAAGTCCACCCTCATATTTTGGTTTGTCTAGCGATAGATTAGTTATGTTTATAATTTCGCAGTCACTAGATGATATTGGATTTTCTTATGATAATGGCAATTTGTACTGGCTACTGGGACAAATCTGCCTTTTGTCCTCCAATCACTCCTAAACCCATCCTAACCCTCTTAAACTCATCCTTGATTTATTCAATTCCTATATATATATATATATATAATCACTAAGGCTTGCCTCATCACTACTTATATGGAGTGAAACTAACATTAAAATTGAATGCATAAACCTTGGGGACACAAAGGATGAAGATCAGATAGTTACCCATATTTGGAGTCACAAGCCTCAGCCTCCCATAGGCCATCAGGCCCATCACTAGAATTCAGTGAGCTAGAGTAGTAGAGCCCATTGTGACTCATCTAGATCACTTATCATGTAAATTTTGAGATTATTGTAGTTGCAATTATGCGCTCTGAGGTGAATGAATGTTTCTGTAGCTTCTTTAATACATTTTTGAGTTAACCACATACAAGCTTTCATTCTCCTCTTTTCAGTTAAAGTTGCATTTTATACTATGGAGTTCCATTTTTTCCTTCGATTGTTATATTGTGTTTATATTTACAGCCCAAAATACTGTTTGATTACATAGAGAGGTAGTGTACTTGCTTGAAAAGTTACCGCTTATCATGGGCTATATCTCAAAAGACAAATCATTTGATGACTTCTGGGTAGAGTGAAGCATGAAATGGAAGTAAAGTAGTAATTGAAGTATCTAATATGATTGGTTCAAGCTATCTATCTCCACTTCAGGTTTCTAAGTCTGAGGCCATGTTTGGGAGTGTTTATGTTAAAAGTAAGTGCTTATTGAATAAATGCTTAAAAACAAGTACTTATTCAAATAAGCACTTATTTGCATTTGGCACTCAGCTTTTTCAAGTGCTTAAATAAGCACTTGTTTCATCTTGGGCGTTTGGTGGTCTTTTTCTCCAATAAGCACTTAAATAAGAAACCGTGACTCTTTTGTCCTTCATTTTTTTTTTAATTTTCAAAAACATCCAATCCAAAGTGAATGAACAAAAGTACTTTGATAGAAGTGCTTTTATAAAAGTGCTATCATAAAAGTACTTCCAATAAAATTACTTTTATAGAAGTTCTTTTATAAAGTGTTTTTATAGAAGTACTTCTGTAAAAGTGCTTTTATAGTGTTTTCATAAAAGTTCTTTTATAAAAGTACTTCTGTAAAAGTACTTTTATAAAAGTGTTTTTATAAAAGTACTTTCATAAGTGCTTTCATAAAAAAAATACTTTCATAAAAGTGCTTTTGTAAAAGTACTTTTATAAAAATACTTTCATAAAAGTACTTTCAGAAAAGTGATTTTATAAAAGTACTTTTATAAAATTACTTTCGTTAAAAGTACTTTTATAAAATTACTTTCATGTAAAAGTACTTTTATCAAATTACTTTCATGTAAAAGTACTTTTATAAAAGTGCTTTCATAAAAGTATTTTCCTAAAAGTGCTTTGGTAAAAATACTTTACTTTCATAAAAGTACTTTTTATAAAATTACTTTTTTATAAGTGCCTATGTAAAATTGCTTTTGTAAAAGGATATAATTGGTATTCTAAAAATTTACCATGGATAATTTTGGGAGTAAAACTTTGAATAAGTGCTTATTGTATGAGCACTTAAAAAAAGCTAGAAATTTGGGTTTAAAAAATAAGCACTTATTTCGGGCTTATTTCCCAAACTCTAATAAGTGCTTAATAGTGTGGTCCCCACCCAAATAAGCACTTATTTTTAAGCACTCCCAAACATGGCCTAAAACTTTCAGCAATTGCACCAAATGTAGATAAATTTGGTATTGCTTGTCCTTTCTCTTTCTGCAACAGAAATATAGAAACAAAATGACCTGTGTTAGTTCTAAAGACTCATCCATAAGTTCCCACATTACAGTAAAAAGGAATACTACCTAATGTTGCTCCCAGATATCTAGGTTCTTGTGAGGGGTGGACTGGATACGAACCCAACATTTGAGCATTTTCTTGAACGAATTGGCCACTCTGACTCATAGACTTCTTTCTCATGACTGTACAGTGAGATTTTAACATTGCACCAAACTTGCCATTGTCGAGTAAGAAATATTAATAACAAGACAATTTAGCTCCCACCCAGTAGATTATTGTAAAGGAAGGTTTTGATTTGAGTTCATTACTTCCCCAAAGCCTTTACAATTTTCTAACATCATCATGGGTTGATTCATCTAAAGCTCCATTAACTCCTCTCTCTCTCTATCTCTATCTGTATGTGTGTGCTGGAAGGAAACTCCATCCTCTGAAAACACTGTTCAAATCTAAAACAGGCTAGTTTCAGCCAATGAGAGAAATCTATCTACATAACTTTGAGAAGCGATGGGTTTGCAGGTTTTCAGTTTTTCTAGCTCTGGGAAAGGACAATTCACCAGGAGCGATGAAAAATTCCTTCTTTTTGGTCAATGAAAAATTCCTTATTTTTGGTCGGTCCTATTCACAATTGTATTAACGAATGACGATGGGACCCAAGGTAGTTGGCACAGTGGCTGGGATTTTGTGGAATCAAAATTCAAAGCAGGAACAGGAGATGCAAATCTGTGTTACATCAGAATGAACGCTTAAAACATAGAAATTGGGCCTCACCGAGGAGTCGAGGACATTCACTTGGTCAAAGAGTTGCCCTGATTTGGCTGGTCCCAGCAAATTCAGAAGTCAGAAGTCAGAACCATTCTCAAGTATGGATGGAAGTATTTCGGGTCTTCCTTTGCTCCTTGGTGGGACCCATTGAACTTTGGGATTATGGGCCATCCTGTCTCCAATAGGATATGGATGGCATTGAATGGGTCCTACACAAGCAAATGTATACAGCAAAAAGGCAGCAGCATGATCAAATTCGTTTAAAGCCATCTGATCCATGGATTATTTTTTATCAACATTTTGCGAGCTTTACGGTATTAGATTAGGGCATGACATAGGGGCCGGGATATGCTTCCCAAAAAAATTCGTTCCAACACATTCCCACTTAATCTGTGTCCGCACAAGTTATAACATGATGGGTTCGGAACGGGGTCTGCTCCTCACACAGGAGCGCCTCACATTTACATCCACCGTGCATTGAGAACATTTCCCGTAAATAATAACTTATAAATACGGAAAGTGTTCCCAATGTATAATACGATGTACGTGTGAGGCGCGAGTGAGACGCCCTGTGTGAAAAGCAGATCCGGTCTTGATGGGTTCAATCTTACAGTGAGGCGTGGGGACATTGATCATGTTGAGAGTTGAGACGGTATTGAATTCGGGTTTAGCTTCTAATAGAGCACCTTCACACTAACCTCATTGCATATGGAATGAATCATAAATTGCGTATTGGAGATGTTTTAAGAAGAGCAAATTAGTGTGAGGCGCGTTTTAAGAAGAGCAAATCTCAGCATGCATTAAAAACATTTTCAATACGAATTGACATATGCTCCTCACAACTACATCCCACCCTATGTTGCGAATATCTCCCCATAATCCGGATTCTTCTTATACTTGTTATTAGGAGATACACGGTGGGAATATGCTGTGGGAACTTTCGATCTCGACCGTATTGGGACAGTTTTTATTGTTAGCAGATCCCATCATCATGGGCTCCTCCATCTGTACATTGGACACGTGGCAAATTAGTGGGGTATTGCGCCTTAGTCAAAGGATTTAATACTTTTGGAGTTGAAACTTGAAACTATGTCTGTGTAGTGGAATAACAGCCGAAAGTTCGTATGGTTTGGCAGGTCGGCACAAGAACATAAGGGCAAGAGTTTTTTTACCAAAAAAAAATACGGCTAGAGTAGTTTTGAGTCAACTTGCAACTAAGTATGGACCATTGTTTTTCAACCATCATTCGGAAAAACAGTTTTCTGGCTACTTTGTAGGTGTTTGGTATTGGTGCTTCGAATAGTGCACCATTTCTCATTCAAATATTGTTGGGCATGTGGAGTTGTAAGCAGAAAATGGTGTTTGTTTTTTTTTAGAATAGGTGCTGCTACATTGGCTGTTTTTTAGAAAATAACACAGGTTTTGTTTAGTATTAATGCTATAGAAATATTTTCGGCATTGATCTATATTATCTAACGTCTAAGATGATGCCACATCATTGCACTACTAGCAACAATGCATTATTTTTCTTATAAAACATTGAATTTGGCGTTGCTCCAGACCACATTTTCCCGATTTCCAAGGCATGGTCTGGAGCAACATTTTTCTAGAAAAACGGTACTGATGATGGGTGATTTGGCATGACCTATTCGTGCACAAACACGTGGAAGCAACCTATTGATTGGACATTGACTTGGCATTCCCTGCCACCTCAGCGAGTTGGGTCACGTTGGGTACATTGGGCACCTCAGCCCAATGATACAAGATACACGTGATTCATTGCTCACTAGCCTACTAGCATACAAGCTCTCAGCTCACACTATCAAATACTAACTTAAGCATTAAAGTGCCCACACTAGGTAAGCCACCCTGGGCTCCCTAAGTATCATCTTCTTACAGTTCGACTAGCCAACTAAGCAACCGACATCCGAGCTGCCCTTCAGCTTGGAGCATCTAGATCGCGCTCAATCAGGTACCAAACATGAGAGCGTTTTCTAAAGCACCGCTTTCTCTGATGTGGTGCCTACATGGTATCGTTTTCTCAAAAAACAACATCAATGCCAAACACCCACTTTGTGTTTTAATTATTTTTTTATTTTGTTTAAATCACAACAAGCCATTCGTTCACACTAGATGATCAACATCAAACCATTGATCTAGAAACCAATGGCCAGAGTGGTTCTGGTTCTAAGCCAATTTTTAAAACATTGGTATGGACTATGGAATATGGATGTCAATGGGCCGGGTTAAATGGAAAACTTAGCTTGACCCGACCCTACAGGGTGGGGTTAGAGTCAGCTTCGCACGGGTTTAGGGCTAGAGATTTCATTCCTCAACCCGAATTGAGTTCTAGTCGGGTAGGGGTTTCGCTAACCCACCCCTCGAAGTCATGATATTCCTACATGCATAGTGTATTTTTGCAATATCTAGACCCATAAGTTTAGGACACTTCTTTTATTATAGAGAAGAGAAGTGATACATTGGAACCCATGAACCAAATTTTTTTTGACAGATCGATGAACCAATTTTCAACTTAAATTAATTATTATTGAATTTTCAAAAAGGGAAATTGTCTAAAATTCACCATGACTTTTCAACATTTCTTTTACTTACCATAACTCTTCAAAACATCCAAATAACCCCATGTCAATAAATTGACGTTAAATACTAACAAATATTGGTAGATTACTATTTTACCTTTGTTCTGTTGTAAATGAAAAATAAAGCAAAACTTTGGTAAAACAACAACAGAAATATTTCGGTCTAAAAAATTTCTTCCCATTTTGCATATTTAAGTAAAAAAGAGAGTTTCAAATAAAAAAAAAATGCTTTTGATTCAAATCTAATGCTACATATCTATTTTCACAGTACAATTCACTTTGCCCCTTTTAATTTCAAATGAACAAGAACAGAGATGAAAGACAAGACCTATGGTCAAGAAGAGGACATTGGCTCCATAGGACCCAACATCCACTTCTATCAGAGGTTAGATTAGACTGACATAAAAATATGTTTAATATGACTAGCATGCCATTCAGGGACAATTTGATTATAAAAATTGCACTTATGCTAATGTAAACAACTTCCAAACACTATCAGATGGTGAATTTTGAAAAACAAAAAGTTATTGACATGGGGTTCTCTCTAAAGGCTTTGAAAAGTTATGGTTAATATATTAGACAATTTCCCTTTTTAAAATATATTAGAAAAAGAAAAAATCTATAATACTGGAGAGGCGTGGTATTAAAGACAATTTGAACAATGAAAGCATACCATGAATTTTGATGAATACGACCTGATTACTCACCTCTTTTATAACACTGGTTGTAACTTTTTCTGATATCTATCAATGAATACGACCCATTAATAGACCTTTCATGAGATGATCGGTTTAACCATCACCAACCGGGTTTATGTTTCTAAAAAATAATTCTAATTCCGATTAAAATATCACCAACTTGTCTGATATCTAACCCAAAGAAATCTTAAACAATGAAAGGAGAAAAGAAAAATCTGTGCATGGCAACTTGTTTAATGTTTATTACAGCTCACTTGTTTTTATCTTTCTCGATTGGGTAACAGTGTTCAATAAATGGAAAATGAAAGCCACTTTGGTGGATTTCTGCAGCATTTCTCCAGATTCCCAAGTCAACAAAAGCTAGTTAATTGCCCAGATTTTTTATCTATGTTCAGTCGTTCATGTTCTTTGTTTGCTTGCTGATCCCTTCTGCAACTCAACCTCCAGATGGGTACCACAGAGACACAAGAGCTTGCAGAGATTCCTCCACCTGATCCCTCCAAAGAACAACTCCTATCTCATGATGAAAAGATCGAGCAGCTTGTGCCGGACACACGCCCAAGCAAGAGTCTTCTCTCCATCATCCAACAGCCATTTCATTGGCTTCGGATGCTCTGCAGGGAACTCAACACAAGCTTTGTGCTTGGGGTGGTGCTCGTGTATGGCCTCAGCCAAGGCTTCTCTGGGTCGTTCTTCCGGGTGGTCTCCGACTACTACTGGAAGGATGTGCAGAAGGTGCAGCCTTCTGCCGTCCAGTTATACTATGGGCTCTATTACATCCCTTGGGTGATGAAACCCATCTGGGGATTACTCACCGATGTCTTCCCGGTGAGGGGTTACCGGCGCCGTCCGTACTTCATTCTCGCCGGTGCTCTGGGGGCTGTTCCGGCTTTGGTTATCGCTGTTCATGCCAAGTTGTCAATTGTGATGGCACTGGGTTGCTTAATTGGGATTGCAGCAAGCGTGGCAATTGCTGATGTGACGATTGATGCATGCATTGCCAGGAATAGCATTGAGATTCCGGCATTGGCGCCGGACATGCAGAGCCTCTGTGGGTTCTGCATGTCGGCAGGGGCCTTGGTTGGGTACTCCACCAGTGGTTTCTTTGTTCATCACTTGGGAGCTCAGGTACATGGTTTCTTCTTATCTATTGATTCAGTCACTTGTTTTGATGTTCAAACCTCCCTTTTCTTTCTGAAAGTTGAAATGGGTATTCATGATTTCTGTTGTAGGGATCTCTGGGACTTCTGGCACTCCCACCTGCTCTGCTGGTAGTGCTGGGATTTGTGATCTATGAACTGAAGACTAGTGGCCATTCTGAGAAGAAGGTGAGTTCTCCTTTTCTTCTCTTGTTTCATTTTCCCTGAGACTTCTTGGTCTTTAATTAGTGACTGTTGGATAACAGCTGAAGTAAAGCTAAACTGAATGCCTTATTGTCTTTGTCATTTACTTGATAAAAAAAATCATATAATAAAATGTTTAGGGTATAGTTAATAATATAAGTCATCGAGTTCAGCTACCTGCTACCCCCCCCCCCCTCGGAATTATTTTGGGCATTGGTAACATCCAGGGGAGTTTGTATGTAGACAGTGTTCTATTGTGGCAGCTGGGAACTGGCCCAGTATTTGATGCTCACCACCTGCTTGTGCCAAAATGCAAACCTTATAGAATATTGGATTACTCCTGACATGTAACGCAGGAGCGGGAATGTCTACTTCGTATGGAGACAGAAGTAGATGGGTTAGCCTTGACCAGGTTTTGGGTTGAGGTAAACCTGTGTTAAACCTGGCCCATCTAACAGTGCAGCATTGAAATATCTTGGTTGAGTATAGGTGTACTGGGATGGGTCGGGTCGGGTTTGATATTTCCTCTTTATTTGGTCAGATTGGGGTCAACTGGGGCACATTCAGTAGCCCACAACATCCACATGAGATCCTTTTGACCTATAGAGATTCTAACTTAACAGGGGAGACCGGATCTGCTCCTCACAGTCACATCCCACCATATATCGGGAACATCTCCTATACTTGTGTGTTATTAGTCATGAGAGATGTTCCCAATGCACGGTGGGATGTGCCTGTGAGGTGGGTGTGAGGAGCGCTGTGTGAAGAGCAGATCCCAATTCTTAACAGGGCTAGGTAGAATTTTCCATGGATCCAACCCAATCTGAATATAAATGGATCAAATTTGGATCTAGGCATATCCATTTGAATCCAACTTTACTAATAAATTGATCTTAATAATATGTAGATACAAGCATGTATATTTAAATATTATCAGATTGGATTGAGTGGATCCATATTCAACTGCTCAGTGCTCATGAGCTAATCTGTGGGCTTTCACCAGTCATCCAGTGCATTGGACAGTTTGGACTGATTGTACCTATGCTGCAGATGGCACTGGACAAGCTAGGGGGAGCAATCAGTGGCATGTACAGAACCATTAAGTATCCTCAAGTTTGGAAGCCTTCTCTTTACATGTACCTGTCTCTGGCCCTAAGCATAAGCACCCATGAAGGCCAATTCTACTGGTACACTGACCCCAACGCTGGCCCTGCATTTTCTCAGGTTGGTATATCTCTCTCAAACCATGTAAGCACAGTTTCATAGTTGTTACAGTTTTCCTTGATTTCACCTTAAACAATGCAGGAGTTTGTTGGGATGATATATGCTATTGGTGCAATGGCTTCCATTGTTGGGGTCCTAGTCTACCACAAGGTTCTTAAGGAATACCCATTCAGGAATCTGCTCTTCTTTGCCCAACTCCTCTATGCAACCTCAGGCATGCTTGATGTTATCTTTGTCCTTCGATGGAACCTCAAACTAGGGATCCCCGACTACTTCTTTGTAATCCTGGAAGAGTGTGTCTCTCGGATTGTGAGCAGAATAAGATGGATGCCCATGATTGTGTTAAGCACCAAACTTTGCCCTCTAGGCATTGAAGGAACCTTCTTTGCCCTGTTGATGTGCATTGACAGCCTTGGCTCACTCTCATCCAAGTGGGGTGGAGGCATAATTCTACATATGTTTCATGTAACAAGAACAGACTTCACAAACCTATGGTCAGTACTCTTCATCAGGAATATACTGAGATTTGCTACATTGAGCTTGATTTTCCTTGTTCCTAGAGCAGATCAATCCGATGTTCTGATACCATCTGACCTACTGACTAAGGCTCCAGATGCCGTGTCTTCAGATGCAGAAGAGGAAGGCTTACAACTTGTGTCCATGAATGAGAAACTTGAAGCTTAAGTAGGTACCTTGACAGACAATCATACAAGGGTTCTATACAGTGTAAGAAGTTGAGAAGGGATAAATCTTGTAAACATCATGTGAATTCTTGTTCTAATCTTATACTTGACATCTTTGGAGGGTCTCATGGTATGAGTTGAAGTCATGTTGCCTTTTTCCCTCTTTTCAAAATTCAAACTAGAAAGATGAGACAAGCCTCTATGCAGCTGCAAGAGTGGGAAGCTATCTTAGGAAGCAAAGAGAGTCACAACTTGTGAAAATATTAGTACAAATCGAACTGTCTAAGAATTTGAAACTATCCAAGCTATCTTAAGATAAGAAGAGAAACACAACTTTTCTTTGGGTCAGTAGCTTGCATTAAAAGAAGAGCTAAAGGCCCACAAAGCACCATCCAAGGAAGACTTTTGAGCCATTTGAAGGGTGAGTACATATGCAGAAAGGTAAGCCAATGGGCACAGCTCTAGTGGGCTAGAGATGAGCTGTTCGGTTAAAATTGAGTATATACATTTAAGTCCACAGAAGTAATTAAATAGATGAACCTAGGGCCTTTCAGTCCATTCTTATCTCTCCTGTGCCTACAAGTTATCCTGTTATGAGTTACATAGAACTTCTAGCTTGGCAATGTTGCACCATGAGACCAGACATACAGCCATGACCCAAGCTCCAACATTCAGCTGTTGTAGTCTCATTTACCACGGTGGTTCCATTAGGCTGCATTTGTTTGTGGTGTAAAACCTCATCGATAGAGCTTCACACCGAACTGTTTGAAATTTCTGAACCGTTAAGCATCGAAAAACGTGACCATCGATGTAATACTACATCAATAATCAAACGTTACATTGATTTGCAATGTAAAATTTCACTCCATTCAAACGTCGATAAAACCGAATGAGCAGTGACCGTTTTACACTGCAAACAAACGTCGACAAAACCGAACCGGCAGTGACATCTTGCACTGCAAACAAACACAGCCTTAGTAACACCAACGATCCCATTTCTCTATACAGGTCACAACTTGATACTTCATGGTTTTCCCAAGGGTTCAAAGTCTTATCATGCAAAAAAATTCCAAGAGGGGCATTATCAAATAAAAGAAAGAGAAACAGAAAAAGCTGAGTATCTAGTCTGGCTCTCTTGACTGCTTTGGTGTGCCTAATGCTTTTGGCAATTGGTTGTAGAGTGAGTAGAAGGGGAAAGGGAGTTTGATATAAGATCATCATCCTTGGTTTCATCCTGTATCAAAATGATATCTGTTTAGTAGGGATTTTGGGGATTATTTTTGAAGCTTTGGTGTGTCAAATTGGATAAAAGCTTTCTACTGTTTTTTTTATTTCTTGGTATATAGGATTCCAAACAAGTTTGCTTTGTACATCACTATGGGGTTACTGCTAATGGGAGCTTGGGCCCCTTACAAATCACTGGGTTATAGAAACAAAAAACCATAGTAAGGTCATTAAATATGTAGATAATAGACAAGCAAACAAAACAAATCTAACAGGTCATTTGGACAGGTCACCTCGAACAAACACCAAACCAACTGCTGCACATTCCATCAAATTAACAATGAGAATTCCTATGGTCAAAAGCTGAAATTATATTGGATGGTTTTACTTCAAACCTTGCAGCTACTTCATTGCTCTTGTTCTTCTTCTTGTTTACTTCCAATTCCTTTACCAATTCGCCATGCCTCCTAAACAAATTTTCCATTTGATGCACCAGTTTTTGAAATTGGAAGATATCATACCATATCCCATTATATATTTCTCCACAATTTCTGTATATATCACTCAGATGAGAGTAGAGATCTTTAACTTGCTCAGGTAATCCAGGACCATAGACGTAGTCAAAGAAATTAGTCATACTTGGGTACAATCTGAAGAAGTCTTGAATGTTGCATTGAGAGACCAACAACCTCAAGAATTGTAAAAAGCTTTCATGCAAGACTTGGTTGGTACAGCCTTCTGCAATAAATTGAAAGGAAGAATATATGCTGGGTCGACTTTCTTCAAAATTTGCAGATGCTTCCTTGATCTTCTCATACTCGTCCAATTCCCTTACAATTGCTTTATATTCCTAGCACAAAACCTTGATATCTGATGTTTAACTGATTGGATGGATTTCTCAAATTCCAGATGTTTGCTACAACCAGTTTTCATCTTATACAAATAAGGAAAGATCTCTTCAATAAAGTTATTGCCATAAATGCATGCCAAATAAAGGAACAAAACTGGACCCATTTTATAGAAATCACACATACTGCACTGAGACAAAAATGGCCTCACCAGCTGCCACTCTGGATTATTCTCTCCCGTCTCTTGCCATCTCAAGAGAAGGACCTGCTTAGAGATGAGAAAATTGCACATTTAGAAATCAATAGAGCAATGAACCATAGAAAAAAGAAAATACCCAAAATACAAAGGAGAACAAAGATTCATCTCAAGGAGTAATAAACTTGTCAAAAGAGAATACAACCCAAAAAAATAGCAATGCACCATAGAAAAAGAAAATACCCAAAATATAAGAAGGGGAACAAAGATTCATCTTAAGGAGTAATAAACTTATCAAAACAAAAATACAACCCAAAAACATGGAAGAAATTACCTTTGCAAGCAAGTACTGAGCACTAGCATTTCCAACACTTGCACAGCTGTTCAGCAAATCACAGTTTTTTCTAGAAAGAACTTTTAACAAGATCAGGGTCCAAACCATCAAAATCTAAAGATTTCAAAACATCAATGTTATTGGAAAACTTCACAAACCCCCTTTGGAACTGCAATGAAAATATTTCTAGTGTCAAAAAGGACAACTTTTCAAATTAATAGGGAAGAACTTGAGCATAATGACTGAATGCATATAATTGTATCAAATTACCCATTGGTGTTCTTTGAGTATAAATTGCTCATTTTAAGTGATTGAAAATTGTCTTTTTACTTTGAAAGAAGATAACTGAAATCCATTAATAGAGAATAGTAGATGAGATGATGTACACAGAAAAGCAAAGCAACCAGCCAACAAAGGCGACATAGGCAGGGGCTATACCACCATAATATATCTATCTATCTATCTATCTATCTATATATATATATATAGTATAAATATATTTAAAATACTAGTTATATTTTAATATTTTTCTTTATTTAAATAAATAATTTTTTCAACAACAGGCTTTAATTAAAAAATTTAGGAATTCAGGTCCCCAATGGGAAACCCATCTCCATCGGGGGTCAGGGATAAAGGCTAAATTTTTTCCCCGACAAGGATCGGGGTTGAGGATGTAGAATATGGTCTCCACCCCAAACCCACCCTGTTGCCATTCCTAACGGGGATCCCCAAATTTGACCTACCCCATTTCGGCCATTCCTAGCCATGGTTTCATTCATTTGACCCAAGAATTGGACCCCTAACCGGTTTGTTGTCCGGTTCAATTTGAAAAACCTTGGTTTAACCTCAGCTAGCAATGTATTTTATTAAATTCAAATATTTAGTAAATTTTATTTTATTATTTTAACCAAATATCGCCAACAAACCAAATTTGGTCCACAGATAAGATAATATTATGTATATGTGGTATAACAGATAATTGGGTTGGGACCAGTACCTGTTCTTCCGAACCAATCTTTTATCTTATATAAAACGAAAGGGGTTCTCTCCCCTTTCCCAAAACGGAATCTTACTGTTTTAGTACTGTAGTTAGCATTGTATCAGTTAATTGCACGTGTGAATAATGCAGACAAGTATCTCTCCCTCCATTTTGAAGCATAACGTGTGTCACTCTATTTCTCCACTTCTCTCCTCAGTCCTCACCCCGCGTTCTCTCTCTCCTGATTTCAGAAATGGAGTCAATTCGCCGCTACTTCTGTTCTTCGACTACTCGCTACCATCAACACTGCCATATTGAAACCCTAGCCCCAACCTGAACTGCTCGAGGACGAGGACTCGCTTTCGCCAAGGTGAGATCGAGAGATCGATCCCAGCTGTTTCTTATCCTCCTCTCTGCCATGATTTTCGCCTCCATCTCCTGAGCTCGTCGATTGCAAGTTTCTCAATGGTCTTAAACTTGCCAACAATCGTCTCTCCGATTCAATCCCTTATGAACTCTCCCGTCTTACTCGTCTCAAGAAGTTCTCGGTTGCTAATAACCGTCTCTCCGGTACGATTCCCTCCTTTTCCGATTTCGATGCCGCTGGCTTCGACGGCAACAACGGGCTCTGCGGTAGGCCTCTTGGGTCCAACTGTGGTGGTTTTAGCAAGAGGTCAAGTCGTCGCCTTCGCAGGAGGAAGTATGGGGCTGGAAAATATGAAGATAGCAGTTAGGTGGAGCACTTGAGGGCTCGCAAGCTTGCTCAGGTTTTGTTGTTCCAGAAACCCTTTATGAAGGTCAAGTTGGCGGAACTCTAGTAGAAGATGAGAGACTTTTATTTTATAAACACATGCCTAACGCAACTCTGTATTCTCTGTTGCACGGTTCTGCCATTACAAACATTGAGCACAGTTCATTGGATTGGAGAACGAGGCTTAAGATTGGCAAGGGTGTGGCGAGGGGCCTCGCTTGGCTTCATCATGGCTGCCAACCCCCTTTCCTGCACTAGAGCATAAGTTCCAATGTAATTCTCCTCGACGAAGACCTAGATGCTCGGATTACTGATTTTGGACTCGCAAGGCTCATGAGGTCTGCTGATTCTAACGATAGTTCTCTCATCCATGGGGATTTTGGAGAGTTTGGTTATGTGGCTCCCGAGTACTCGAGCACCATGAGTTCTGCTTATTTTCTTTTTTCACCAAAAGAAGTTAATTTCTTTGATATTTTTCTTTGCGAGTTTCAGAGATCCGAAGGCTGATTGTGCATCGACATGAACTCGTTTCTTGCGTTTGGGAAGGATTATGTGGGTTGGAATTATGGAAAGACTGGGAACCCGGTTTATTTGCACATAAAACAGACGAAAAAACCGGTTCCTGAAGATAGGCCCCTCAAGAAACCGACTGTTCTGGCAATAGGTATATATTTAAGTCTGTACACGTCTATGCATATATTAAAAAAAGGATGAGGTTTATAGCATTTAGAAGCTGTCAGTCGTATATCTTGCAGGCTTATTATTTCCTTGCTGTTACTGTACTACCATTCGAATTGTTTGAAACTTCTGGTAGAAACCAAATGCATTCTAATGGTGGAGTTGGATTGCTATCAAATAAGCTCTTTGTACACAAACATACATTTATTACTTTTCCTTCTCTTTATTCAAGCCATGGATGAATTCCTGTTTATCGGTGGAAGCTATGTCTCGACTATGAAAAACAACACTCTTTTCTACATTATTCTGTTTTATTTTCAGGTATGGAGGGTGGTTTCGACAACCATGAACCTGAATATGAAGAATTCCATAACATTGTCATATTGCCAGAATTTGTCTAGCTTTCGTTTCCTTCCTTTGAGTTACCAGAAAAGGTAATTGTAGTTTCTCATTATTTATTATATCAAAGAGAATATGTTTGGTTGTAATTGCCAAGGCATGCCTATGCTTCGAAATTGCAGGTCAGATTGGCAGTTGATGTTATATTAATGGCTGAAGGTGCTGAGCGGAAAGAGCAAGTAGCAGCTTGGACAGCTGATAAGAAGCAAGTCAGTGCTTATGCCATGAATCTTCAACAGATTGGCAATGGGTCATTGTCCCTCCATCTGGGTGGACATGTGCTAAGTGTGACAAGACTGAAAATCTATGGTTGAATCTAACTGATGGGATGATCCTTTGTGGGAGGGGAAATTGGGATGATAGTGGTGGAAACAACCATGCTATTGAACACTACAAAGAAACTAATTACCCCCTTGCAGTAAAGCTTGGCACTATAACTGCTGATTTGGAAGGAGCAGGTAATGCATTCATGTGTCTTTAGCAACGGCACTTTATCTAGCCCAACCTATAGTGTTAGAATAGCTTTTCTAAATGTGTTTCCATCCATTGTGCTTTAAAAGGAGTCGGTATGAATTTCCAGTAGACACATTACAAGAGAATGTAAAGTTATAAACCAAAAGCTCTTCTATTGTTGACTGTTGCTAATTCTTTTTGAGCATCTCATTTATCTCAATCCATGGATAAGTAGTTATGTTTTATCAATAAATTTTCTTATAGCCCTGTTTTCTGTTGGTTTTGCGAAGAAAATTATCTCTATGTGTCTCATGTTTT